AGGAGCTTTCTCCCCCCCCGCGTGCCTCAGTTTCCTAATCTGTAATATGGGAATAATAATAGTACCCACTTCAACTAGGTGAGAATGAAATAAGCTAATTACGTAAAGCACTTAGAACAGTGCCCGACTCCCAGCCTGTACTTGATGTACACTTATGTTTGTATTAATATTTCTCTTGACATATATGCCTACAGCAGGGCAAAGCTGGGATGACAGGTCACCAGCCTCCCAGCGTGGAGTCCCTCCCGCTCATCGCCGACGGGAGGCCTGGCCCACAGAAGGTGCGGGTGCGCGGGCTCAGTGTTGCTGGGAGGAGAGGAGCTCCCCTGGGGCCCTGCCCACGCCTTGCTGGGGGTGGGGGCTGGCTGGAGAAGCCGCCCCGTAGAACATCTCCAGGCTCCTTCTAAAAACTTCTAAAGACTGTCCCAGGGCAGGGCTCCTACTCTGAGGTCACCCTTTGTCCCCCTTATCATGGGGGCCCACCCTCAGCTGTCCAGCCCAAGAGTCAGTGGCCGACCACGGCCCTCAACTTACCCCATCCACAAGCACCCTAGGCTGGGCGGCCAGGGCTCACCAGCCCAGGCTAAAGGTGAGCAGGCTGAGGGGCAGCGACATGCCCAGGGGGCACAGCACGGCCAAGGCAAGGAGGTCGGCCTTGCCCCAGCCCACGCCCAGCCCCTGCCTCTGGGGCCCAGACGGGTCGCCCCAGCGCAGGGCTCAGGGAGCTTCAAAACCTCCCGAACAGACACACAAACGGTTAAACCCAGACTCCCTCCTTCCTCCATCCCAATTCTGATCCTTGCTGACTCTGCTCCCCCTCCCTACCCCCAGCTATTCTGGGACAATGGAGGCAGCAGATGGCCCGAGTCCTGTTCCCTCCACCCGACCCTCAGGATCTGGGAACAACCCGAAAATCTGCTGCTGCTTCTAAAAGCGGGGCTACCAGCAGCCTCCCCGGGCGGGTGGGGCAAACAGCGGCTGCCATGGCCCCATTCCATCGCCACCGGGCTGCAGGGCAGGGGCCGCCCTCCCTCGGCTCGCAGCCCACAAACTCGGCTCGCAGCCCGCAAACCCCGCGTTAGGTCAGCCCAGAGAGAACAAAGGCTTGGAAGAGCCCGGGCAGCTGGGCTCGTGCACCTGACTCACTGTGTGGCCACGAGCACATGCAGTCCCTCTCTGGACCTCTGCTCCAAAAAAAGGGGCTGAGGTTCAGGTGCTCGGCAGACAGCCCAGACACAGATGTGGCCGGAACAAGGTTTCTGGACCTTCAAGGGTGGAGGACGTACTCCAAAGGAGCCCTGACTGTGGCTGCCCAGATCAGGGACCCTCTAGCCCTTGGGATCTCTCCTGCTCTTTGCCCAGCCCAGAGACCCCTCGACACCATCTCCCAGCATCATTGCACACGATGCAAGATGGGGAGAAGACACCCCCGTCCCCAACCCCACGTATGTGCTGCCATGCCCGAAATTTCACCACGTTCACTTTCATTCATGCATTCAACCTCCTTGGGATCCAAAATTCTAAGGACACTTGCATTAATTCAGTGCCCGCCTTGGCTGTCCACTTGCCCCTAGGCACCTTGATCTGACACCCGAGGCTGAATCCCTCAGCTGGAAGTCTCCATTCTGCCTTCCCCGACTCTCTAACCGCCCCACCCCAGGCCCTGAGGGCACAGAAAAGGAGAAACCATTCCCGGCACCAGCACCTCACGGCACACACACACTTACATGTACACATCATGCACACATATGTGCAACACAGCCACAAATACATGCGCACACTACCCTTACATCCTCATGCACAGGCATGTGTAGAAGGGTACATGCTCCCCCATGCACACCCCCACACACCACGGCACACTAGTAACAGTCACCGTTCACTGAGCCCTTCCTTTTTCTGTGCCAGGCCCCGTGCTGTGCCCTTTGAAAACATTACATCATGCCACCAGAAACGACGACCATCACTACTGTGAGAGAGATCAAAAGCCCTACCCCAGTCAGGAACGCTCTGGCTGTAACAGAAAACTGGACCCAGAGAGACTTAAACAAATAAAGGTTTAATTTTCTTACAGAACCAGATGCTGGAGGGGATAGCTATAGATGATTGTCTCGGCTTTTCTTCACAGCAGCAAGGTGGCTGCCCCAGATCCAGCCATCACACCCACATTCACAGCAGGAAGATGGGGTATAGAGCTGCAAAACCTTCCCCAGAAACTGCTCTATGGGCTTTGCTTAGTTTCTCTGGCCAACCCCTGGCCCACCTGGTCCTGTGGGCTGTTCAACTCACCTCCCAGGGGCCTGGGATGCCTTCAGTGCCTGCTACCACCCAGATCCTGGGCGTGCCCACCACCCAGAGACCCTGTGGGGACTGCCTACCACAGGGCACTTTCCAGGGGCCCCCAGTGCTGCCCGTGGAGGTGGGGGACAGTCAGAAGCCTCAGCCCGACATTGGTCCAGCAGTTCAGGGTTCATCGGGCAGCCAGCTGTGGACACCAGGGTGTGTCTGGGTGGAGAAGACAGTGCAGGGAGCGAAACCTGCAGAGAGACCAGAAGCAGACGGGACGGTCACCCCCACTCCCCCGCTGCCCCCACAGGCTCCTGGGGGCGAATGTCACAGAGATGGTTTGGCGCAGGGTCTCTGCGCCTCAGCACTCCTGACGTTTAGGGCCAGGCACTCCTTCGTTGTGGGGCTGCCCGTGCCTTGCAGGACACTTAGCGGCGTCCCTAAGCTCCACCCACCAGACGCCAGGAGAACTCCCTGAATCGCAATAATCGAAAATGTCTCCAGACATTGCCAAATGTCTCCCAGGAGATGAATCGCCCCTACCGAGAACCACTGGTCAGCAGAAACGTCAAAAGCCAGAGAAGCCATGAAGAGACCTGGGCCGAGGCCGGACCAGCCCACCACACCCATCTGCGTCTCCAATTGGCTCCAGCCTCCTTAGGCAGAAACCTGTGAATTCTAGAATCCTCAGCTTCAGAGGAAATTTAACACCAAATCTTTTTTTTTTTTTTTTTTTTTTTTTTGAGACAGAGTCTCGCTTTGTTGCCCAGGCTAGAGTGAGTGCCGTGGCATCAGCCTAGCTCACAGCAACCTCAGACTCCTAGGCTCAAGCGATCCTGCTGCCTCAGCCTCCTGAGTAGCTGGGACTACAGGCATGCGCCACCATGCCCAGCTGGTTTTTTCTATATATATTAGTTGGCCAATTAATTTCTTTCTATTTTATAGTAGAGACGGGGTCTCGCTCTTGCTCAGGCTGGTTTCGAACTCCTGACCTCGAGCAATCCGCCCACCTCGGCCTCCCAGAGTGCTAGGATTACAGGCATGAGCCACCACGCCCGGCTTAACATCAAATCTTAAACCTCTTTGTAATATAGCTACAGCTTACACACTTCCACTGATGGGGAGCTCATCCCATTAGAAGACAGCTTCTTTCATCCTAGAATTTTTAACTTTTCTCCCTATATTGAGCCAAACTCTGTCTCTTTGTAATGTCCAACTTGTTCAGTGCAGCCTTGGCCCCTGATGTCCCTCTGCCCGGGACAGGCAGCTCTGCAGAGCCGCAGGGCCAGGAGCCCTGGTTCCCCCAAGGGTCACATACTTCAGATAAATCTCAAGAGACAGAGCCTGCAAAGGCGCCAGGGAGGTCCCCTGCCACCCCCTCACCTGAGTTTGACACCACTCTCTCCTCTCCCCCACACTCTGCCCACACGGTTTCCTTTCCGTGCCGAGCAGATCAAGACCGCTCCTGCCACCAGCCTTCGCACATGCTGTTCCCTGTGCCTGGAGCACTCTGGCCCTTCAGGTCCTAGTGTTGTCCTAATGTCACCTCCTCAGGCAGGTGTCTAGCCCCCACGCCCCAGGCAACATGAGGGCTCTCCTTGCTCTCCCCATAACAGCCCACACGTCCACACTCCCCTTCTTCCACCGCACGCCCAGCGCCCCGGCCTCCTCAGCCCCCAGGACTCGCTCTGGACAAGTCTCTGTCGCTCAGGCGGGCCCAGAGCTCACCCCATCGCCTCCCCTACTTGTTGCCTTCCTGAGTCCCTGCTCACTCCCCCGAGGGCAGGATCAGGCCGCCTTCCCCCCACCCTTCCCAGCCCTGCACGTCACTAACAAGAGGCAGCAATGGGAGGAGAGGAGGGGGAGTGGGGAGCAGACTGAATTCCCAGAGATGGAACAGACTGTCACGGGAGAGGGAGGAGCTCCCCGTGGTTGGGGGCATGCAAGCAGAAGCCAGCCCGCCAGTTGGTAGAGAAGCTGGGAGGGGATCGAACATCAGTTCCGAGGTTGGACCGTTGGGCCGGGCGTCCACGTGCCTTGCCCACTCCTCCCACACCCACACCCACCTCCCAGCCGCGGCCAGAAGCACAAGCCACAGCTGGCCAGCGGGGGTGTGTGGAGAGCAAGCTGCGTGTCACCGGCTGCGCTCTACACCAATCAGGGGCGAGTTGAGTGGCGCCAGTCTCCCCGTGGCCCATTCTGGGCAGAACTAGAAGGTGCCATTCCATCGCCCCACCCACCTGGAAGAACCATTTAAGAGTGTCAAAGAAACCAAGCGCCTAAAAAAACAAAATCCCCCACAAGTGCCCCCGGTTCCACCAGGAGAGCGTCTCCTTCGCTCAGTGAAGGCATTTCAGTCCCCCAGGGGCTCCTGGAGAATCCCGCAGGGTCAGGGCTGAGAGAGCCCTGCAGATCCACCATGTGCAGACAGAGTCCCAGAGAGGGCAAGACACTTGTCCAAGGTCACACAGCAAGCCAGCGGCAGAGCAGGGACTGAAATCCACTGCCTCCACTCCCAGCTCTGTGCTGCCAGCCACCAGGGCCTGTCCCACTCCTCTGCCACCCAGCACCCCCATCTCTGGACACCTGGCCTCGGCCCCCACTCCTCCCATGCCACAGACCCACCTGGAGGGGTCCTCCTCGGGGGAGAAGGGGCCCTGGAGCTTAATGACGTTGAGTTTCCCCTCAAAGACACCGTAGCTGAGGGTGACCTGGGCAGGGAGAAACAGAGAAGAGTGTTGGGGTGTCCCGCTGGGGAGCTGCGTGCTGGCAGGAGAGAGGAGGCGCGTGCCTCGAGCCTGAGATCCCAAGCTGGCAGCGGGTGCCTCCCTGGGGAGCCCACCCGCGCCCCAGAGGGACTCTCGTGCCCATGATCCCATCCGCTCCTCCACGGCTCCGCTCGCCTGGGAGGCTGGGACGACACCCTCACCCTACAGATTGGGAAACTGAGGCCCAAAAGAGAAGGGCACCTTTCCAATACGGGAGTGTCTAGACTAGGACTGAGGTTTTCTGAGGCTCACTGCAGGGCCCGGGCAAATCCCGAGCCCTCGACCCCGTGCAATGAGGACTTGGGATCACGGTTTCAGCCCAGAGGTGGCAGACCCCAGCGGGCTTAGCAGCCACCCTGCTAGGGTTCCACCCGCCCCCGCCCGCACCAGCTGTGTGCCACGGTCCCCCATCCACAGAATGGGACGATGTCAGTACCGCCCTCACGTGAGTGTCCTGAGGAGCCAGAGAGTTAAAGAAGGTAGGAGACAGGTCATGTGACCGAACCCGGCCATCAGCCAGGGAGCCCCAGCCCTGGATCTAGGGGAGGAGGAGTCCCTCCCAGGGCTGAGTCGGAAACCTGGGGCTGCCGCCCACCGCGGAGCGAGCTGGGCTGCCGCCCACCGCGGAGTGAGCCTGCCGGAGGATGAAGCCAGCGCCGGGGAGAGCAGGCGAGGGAGGAGAAGCCGGGATGTCGTCTGAACACCTGGCAAGCCGTGCTCGGCTGCTCAGTTACGCGAGCCAACCGATGCTTTGTTTTCTTCATTTCACCAGTCCCAGTTGAGTTTCGGTCACTTGCACCCGAAAGGGTCTGTCTGACTCAGGCTGCTGGGCAGAAGATCCCAGGGCCCTCCTAGCCAGAGCCATCTACCGAGTTGGAGGGGCACCTGAGAGGCAGAGCCAGTCTGACCTTTGAGCAGAGCCATTACCTGCCGGGTGGTGGGACGGGTCCCCCTCCACCTCAGCCTCACATTGTGCCTGAGTGTCCCCCTTGCAGATCTGTTCCTTCCCAGTAACCGGGGCTTGGAAGGCAAAGCGTGGAGCAGAGGACAGATTCGTTGCGTTGCGGTGGAGGAGGGGGTCCCGATGGGCAAGGTCAGAAGGGGCCAGCTGGCTCCTCAGGGGCGAGGCAGGGATGGGGAAGCCTGGCGAGTGGCGAGGAGGGCGGGGGCAGGGGTGGGTGGCAGGGATGTGGAAACCTGCAGACAAGCTTCACCTCATCTGTGCAGGTCCCTCTGGCCGGCATTTGGGGACCAGATCAAAGAATTGCAGCCACACCAATGCTAACCCTTGAGGGTTAGAAGTGGAGAGGGCTGAGTCACTGTGTGCCCTTAAAAGGTCTTTTGCCACCTATGCCTCAGTTTCCCCATCAACTGGGGATAGCCAAGCCCCACAATCTGAAGTTCTAGGTTGCTTTCAAATACCAGGAGGGAGGTGTAGGGGAGGCCTCATGTTCTTTGAGGGGCCCCTTCCCTGTCCCCCTCCCCCATTGCCACCTGCCCCAAGGCCAGCTCACCTGCTCTGGGAGCTGGGCCGCCCTCAGCAGCTGCAGAGTCTCCAGGTGGGAGTGGAAGAGGGGGCTGGGCTGCAGGTGGCCGCCCAGCTTGCACTCGACGATGTAGCCCACGGTGCAGTCATCGGGGAGCCGGATGAGAGCAGATGTGTCCACAAAATGGGAGCCACTGAGGGACACAGCTGGACTTTAGCCACCGGCCCAGGCCCTCCACACCTAGAGCCCCCAGCCGAAGGCCTTCAGCCAGGGCAGCTGGCAGAGCAGAGCGCTGCCTCCTGCGTGCCGCATGGCCTCCGGCAAGCCGGGAACCTCGCGGAGCCTCAGTCTCCTCGTCTGCGAAATGGGGACAACAGAGCCCTGCCTGCGCAGGCTGCTGTGAGGACTGGTGGAGGAAGGGTGGGCGAGGCCCTTTTTAAATGCATCGTCCCTTCTCTAGCTCTCCTGTCACGCATTCATTCCCTCGTCTATTCGCCGCTGACCACTGGACCACGCGCCCCCGGGGGGGGGCGGCAGGCCCCTGCCGCCTGCAGCACAGATGAATGGGGGCCGGTTTCTCAAGCCCGTCCTGCTGCGAAGGCCCCTCCTGTGAGCACAGCCGCCCCCCCACCCTGCTGCCCCCCCTGGGCGCTGCTTACCTGGCCCACGGGGCCATCTTCACAGCCAGTTTGCGGTTGATGCAGAAGCCGGCGCCCCCCGTGGCGAACCAGAACTGGACCAGCCTCTGGGGGAGAGGGGGCCAACGTGCAGAGTGAGCGGGGGCTGGGGAGCTGGGGGTGGCGAGGGGACCAGCCAGGCCACACTTCACCCCAACCAACATGACTCAGAGCTAGTGTGCATCTCACTAGAGTCTTGCTACAGCCTGGCATTAGTATGCCCATTTTACAGGTAAGGAAGCTGAGGCCCAAAGTCACAGCTAACTATGAGCGGGAAGTTGGCTAATCAGACCCAAATCCAGCTGGGTTCTGGTTAAAGGGATGTGAGTTATTTACCACCCGGCACACCTTACTGTTTCCCCTGGGAAATGTCCCTACCTCACTCCATGAGGTTGGGAAGGGGCTGCCAAGCACAACACCTGCTGCGCGGGGCCACTGAGGTAGCCTAGGTGGACAGGGTCTGCAGGCGCTGAACACGCACAGGACAGACGTGGCTGGGAAACGAAGGTGACCGAGTCCCCACACCGACCCCCAGCACCTTCTCATGTCTACTTGTGCCAAGCCCCATTCCAAGGGCCTGGACAGATGACCTCACCTAAGTCTTTCTCCTATGCCCACACCGCCCTGCGCGTAGGGGCTGTCATCAACATTTCACAGACGGGGAAACTGAGGCACAGAGAGGTCAGGCGACCCCAGTCGAGGTCACAGAGCGGGAGGTGGCAGGGCTGGTGTGCAAACCCAGGCAGTCAGGCTCCGCAGTGAGCCTCTCCACCCCACAGGCAGGCCACTCGAGCAGAGGCGCGTGGCGGGCTGCGTGGCGTGGGAGCGGACGCCAGCTCACCTGGGCGCTCCCGCACACGGCCCCGGGGCCCAGAGGATGTAATTAGGGCTCAGAGGCTGGTAAGTGCTGATAATTAAGGCTTTGTGTTGCCTGCTCTCGGTTTCCTAGCGCAGCAGATGGTGAGCCGGGCGAGCAGCGAGCGCCCCGCAGAGCGCCGCTCCTGCACCAGGCGCTGCCGCTACACGGGGACCTGGCCTGCCTGTCTCCTGGGACCGGGCAGCCCAGGCCTGGGCCACGCCACACCTGAAGCCTGGTGGGTCCTGGGCACGGGGAGAGAACCATGCAAGGTAGGGGATGTACTTATACTAAACAATTCTTCATTGTTTATCTGAATGTCACACTTAATTGGGTATCTCGGTTATCTGTTTATTTCTTTTCTAAATCTAGCAACCCTGATCAGTGTCAGTCCAGGTCTGGGATTGAAGCCGGTGCTGGGGCCCTGTCGTGCCAGGTGTCAGACCTCAGTCACTGGTAGTGGCGAAGTCTAGAGAGAGAGAGTGCCCAAGGGAGGGAGAGGAGTGTCCTGGGCTGAGCAGCAGCAGTTAATCGCCTGGCCCAGCAGCGATCTAGCACTTTAACAACCTGCTCAACTACATGGTGACACCAGGTGGCCAGCAGCCCTGCCGTGGAGACGGGAAGCCTCAGCTCACCTGCGTGCTCACTGTGTGACCGGGAAAGCCACTGCTCCTGGCTCCTGACTGAGGCCTTACCATGTGCCCGTCTCCGCGCCTTACTTGCGTTATCTCAATCTCCCCATTTCACAGAGTAGGAAACTGAGACCCAGGGCTGAAGCCACCAGCCCAAAGCCACAGAGAAGGGGCCAAATCTGAAACCCAGAACCTTCGGCCTCCCCTCTCCACCCCACCCCTGCCCTCAGGAGGAGCGGAGGGGCGGACGGACCGTGCGGTTGTGGGGCTGGGGCTCCGCGGCGTGGATGGGCCGGTTCAGGCTGGGCCGGCCCACGTAGACGTCGCGGGCCTGAGGGAAGGCTCTCAGCAGCTGCAGCAGCGCCCTCGGGTTCACGTAGTTGTCATCGTCCACGTGGCAGAACCACCTGTGGGCGGGAGGGAGACAGTAAACTTTGGGGGCCGTGGTCCAGGCTAGCCTGGGCCACCTGCCAACCTGCCACAGTCAGCCCCCCGCACCCCACAGTCAGCCCCCCGCACCCCACAGTCAGCCCCCCGCACCCCACAGTCAGCCCCCCGCACCCCACAGTCAGCCGACAAACAGTTATGGGTGGGGGTGGCTAATATTTACGGCGTCTGTCTCGTGCCAAGCAGCATGTCATGTAAGTGCGTGAGGGAAGCGTGCTCACTTAACAGATGAGGACCAGACTCTGAGAGGTTAAGACACTTGCTCAAAGTCACACAGCCAGTGAATGGCAGGATTTGAACCCAGCTGGTCTACTGAGCACACTGCCTGCTAGGTGGGTGGTGGCTGGAGTCAGACCCCAGGAGGCCCAGGGCTTATGTTCCCTGGGCCCAGGCCACCTAATTCAGGAGGTGGCCTGAGGCTAAGGCCGCACCTAGTCCCAGAGACGCAGGAACACTCACCTAAGCCCACTGGCCAGGAAGGTATCGAACTCCGCAGCCATCTTGCAGGACAGAGCTGGGTGGCTATGCTCCGCGGAGCAGTTGGTGACCACAAGGTGGGACCCTGGAGAAGTGAGGAGTCAGGGGACCTTGTCCTGCTCCCCCTCTGAGAACACAGAGCCAGGCCAGGCCTCAGAAGCCTGGGAGTGGCCCCCCACTCACATTTTACACACGGAGAAACTGAGGCCCAAGGAGGGCAGACCTGCCCAGGGCCACAGAGCTAGGGGCCAGCAGGCTGGCAGGGCCGAGGCGTCCAGGGTCTTATCTAGCACAGGCCCTGCCCACGCCCACACCCGCTTCCGGGGAAGGACCCTGCTCCCAGCCTGGGCAAAGGGGCATCCCCGTGTTTCCCGGGACCCTCGGGCTAGGCACAGCCACCCCACTTTCCCCGCCCGACCCCGGCCAGGCAGTTACCCAGTCTCCCCTGCAGGCTCTCGTCTGGGCTGTCGGTGAAGACGAACGTCTAGGAAGAACGAGGGGACGGGACTCGGGTTGGCCAAGGGTAGCCCCAGGCCAAGCCCCAGATGGCCCTCCTGTCCAGGTGGACACACAGCAGACTTCTGTCCCCTCCCAGTGGCAGACACACACCCACCTCACGGTCACATGCACCTTTAGGGCAACATACCACACACATGCACACACATACGTACACACACACACACACACACACAGCAGCTCTTATAGACACACAGCTTCAGGGTGTGCAGCAGCCCACAGCCTCACACGCACGCAAGCACCGACAGGGGCCCAGCCACAGCCACACACGCTGGGCACACTCTGTCCCTCTCCCGTCACACCCACGCACCAGTCGCACTTGGCCTCCCCACAGTCACATACACACAACCTAAACCCTCTGTCAGGAGGCAACTCTGTGCGAAAAGCCAACACGCCCACCCCCTGCGACATGACACCGCTCAGGGGACAGCCACGCTTCCACGGCCACACGAACCCCGTGCAAGTGCAGGGGGCCTTGAGCGTCTGGGAAATGTCGCATCGTGGCCTAACCCAGCTCTCCCAGGTCGCACACGCGCCCACCGAGGGCCTTGGCACGCCCGATCCCCAACGACCCTCCCTGAACCCCATGAGCAGGTGTGGCCATCTGTCCCCTTCACAGATGACAAAATGGAGGCTAAGTGACAGACCAAGGTTGGCAAGTGCCAAGCTGGTATCCAAGGCCACAGGCCCTGGACCTCTTCTCATCACCTCCCGGGCAGGTGAAAGCTGCTCAGCCCCTAAATAAACCCAGTCCAACCCAGATAAGAGGCAGGGCGAGGCCTTCAGGGCAGCACAGAACCAAACAAAGACGTGCAGCCTGGGGACTGGTCTCACGGCCACGCCCAGCCCAGCCCGGCCTGTGCACAGCTCTCGGCTGTCCCAGCAGGTCCTCCCGTCCACTGGGCTCCTCAAAGGCCTTCAAGGGGCCCCTCAGCCCTTGGCCTGCCTGCCCAGGACCTGAGACAATTCTGAACCCTTCCGAGTGTCCCACCTGTTTAAGGCCCCAGACTGCCCGTCCCTGGCAGGTGCCACACCCATAGCCTGGCCCCGCCCTCCCTCCAAGGTCAGGGCCCCCGGCTGCGATGCCCCTCTCTGCTCACCCACAGACCTCTCCCTCCTCTCCAGGAACTAGCCCTTCAGATCAGAACAGCCCCTGCCTTGAGCCCGGCCTTACCCATCTATGAAATGAGGGACAGCAGAGGCTGTGAGAGCAACACGAAACTGTGTAGAAAAGAGCAAGGAAGAGTGGACATGATGCCAGTCTCAGCTTCTCACACCTCAGAGGAGACTGAGGCACGGAGGCCAGGAGGTGGAAGTCAGGGTTGGCACAGGAAGGGCAGAAGGGCGCCAGCCCTGTCCCAGGGCCCACAGCCACAGGCCTGCTACTGAGCCCCCAGCACCCCTCAGCGGATTGTTGCAAGAGTCTGCCTCGTTCCTCAGATATGTTTCCTGTCAGGACCAGACTCAGATAAGACCCACACCCACCACCAGCCTCTAGCACCCTCCATGGCTCCCTATTGCCCTTGGGATAGAGGCCGGCCTCCCCTAAGTGTGGCCAGTGAGGGGCCACCTGGCCCCTGCTGCCTGATGCAGCCTTATGTCATTACTTCCTGCCACTGGGGTTCTCTTAGCCCACATCTCTTTCAGTTCCCCAAATAAGCTGCGCACGCACGCACACACACACACACGCACACCCTTCAGGGCCCCTGCACGTGCTGCGCCCTCTTTCCACCCTCTGACTCCCAGCTCAGGCATCACCTCCTCCAGGAAGCCTTCCCTGACACCCTCCCAGCTACTATCGGCCCTCCTCAGTCCTCAGTCCTCCTTGTGCTAACAGCCCTGAGTTATGAAATTTATCACTTGGTCTCTCCCCCTGGATGAGGGCATCCTGGAGGCTGCGGGCCTGGTCCAATGTGTCCCTGTCCCACCCGGCACCGGGCTCCCCCGCCCCCGGGGTCTGTCTCCCACCGTCCCTGGATTTCCACAGGAAGCATGCTGGCCGCCAGGCCCGGCCACAGTGCTCTCCTGCCCGCGGCCCAGGCCCCCGCAGGCAGCCGAGACCCACAGTCCACCTCCCGCCCAGCCCCTCCCTGCGCCCCAAGCTCTCAGACCCCCTGGGGCTTGACTGAGGCCCTGTGCCTCCCCCAGACCCGTCCCGTCTTCCCGCCTGCGGGGACCCACCACCCCCGAGTCACAGTGGCAGTGCCACCCTCCCTCTCGCACTCACGTCCAGCCTGTCGGCAGCTCTGCCCACCCCACCTTCACCATGAGCCAGGACTCTCTCTTCACGCCAACACCAGAGCCTTGTCGCCTCCTGCCTGCCTCGCTGCAGCCCCCTCCCCGGCCTCCCGCCCTGTCCTGCCCCCGCCCAAGTCTGTCTTCCATGCAGCCCCGAGGGACCCTGGAAAGTGTCCGGGCCCTGCTCCCTGGCAACCTTCTGCCACCCAGCAGCCGTCAGAGAGTGGAGCTCTCTCGAGTTTGGAGCGAGGGCCAAGACGGAGGGGACGTCCTTCTGCTGATGACACTCTGAGCTGAGCAGAGGGGGTGAGCGGAGGGAGGGGAGGGAAGGGAGGCCGGGTGCAGAGGGGCAGGGGAGGGCACTGAGGCTGGCGCAGGGCGATGGGCGTTTCCATCGGGTTTGTTTAAGGAAGGGACCTGACAATGGTTAAAACTTCACAGGCTGTGGGAAACAAAGGGACACGCAGCCTGCTGGGGCAGGGGAGGGGTGGCTGGGGACCATCTGCTGCAGAGCGGGGGAGATGTGGGGCCGCTGCCACCTCCCTCCCGCCCACAGGGGACTGGGGAAGAGAAAGGCTTCCTGAGAGAGAAAACCCGCCTCCCAGCCCACCCTGCGCCCAGGACAAAGGCCGCACACGAGCCCCAGCCCCGCCACCAGGCCCACCTGCCACCCGACTGCCCTTAACCAGCTGGGCAGGCGCCCCGCGCCGGAGTTAACCCACTCAGGCCCGTTCGGACACCCTGTCCTGTGCAGATGGGGAAACTGAGGCCCAAAAGAGAGAGGGCCTTGGCCGAGGTCACAAAGAGAAACGATCCAAAGGGTGAGAGACAGCAGGATGGCCAAGGGGCCTCCCTGCCTCCCCTCCTCCTCCCTCTGAGCATCCTTCCTCCCTTCGACTAGAGGACACAATTGCTAGACTCTGCCCTGCTCTGGGCTCCAGCTGAGTGGACTCGTCTCCTGCCTGTGCTCAACCGTGCTCAGTTTCCACTATAAAATGGGAGTATCAACGTCTCCCCTCGGCTGTCTGTCGTGAGGCTTAAGGGGAGAGGGGCAGAGCAGCTGGCGGTCGCCCCGCCCCCACCCTGCTGCCTGAGGCGCTTCTGGGACGGAGCCTGGGACGCAGAAGGGGCCGCAGCTTGCCTGTCCTTGCCGGCCGGGGACTGCCAGGCACAGCCACCCAGGCCGAAGGCCCAGGGACCCGCTCCGGGCCCGGGCAGAGGAGAAAGGCGCCCAGCCGGGAGGCGGGGGCCAGGTCCCACTGGGCTCTGCCCCCTCAGGCTCTGTGGGCGATGCTGCCAGCACTTCCTCCTCGCTGGCCTCAGTTTCCTCATCCGGGGCAAAGGCCCCACCACGGTGGTCCAGACAAGACAGGAAAGGGCCTCGAACCATGTGAGGCCACACTCCCGGGTACAGACACACAAACAGGAAGGTCTGCGGGGAGGGCCAGCCTCCACGGCTTCCGCAGGAGGAACCAGCCCTCCCCAAGAAGAGAAGCTGCGCAGAGCCCCAGGGAAGAGTGGGGTGCCCGGCGCCCAGCTGGGAAGGGATTAACCCCTCGTGCAACGGCGTTGGTGCCAGGGACTCGGGGCAGGGGCGCCCGCTCCCCAGGGGGCCCTGGCCTCTTCCAGGTGTCCCCTCCCCCCCCAGCCTCCTTGGCCTCGGAAGAGCCCTCCACCCCCTTCAAAGGCTCAGTCACTTCCTCCCACTGAGCCAACCGCCAGAGTAGGGACGGGGCGTGTGCGTGTGTGAGAATCCGCCCTCCACTCCCCCAGGGATGGTCCCACGCCCCAAAGCACTGATTTGCTTGAGGTGAGAAGGGCTGCAGGGGGCTCACCTGTCGGAGCTGCCCCATGAAAGGCAGAAGCCGCGCCATGTGTGCGCCCACACGCCTCCGTCATAGCACGTCTAACACTCACACATCGGCCCATGCGTGTGAGCACGCACACACACACACACACACACACACACACACACACACCCATTCGCCAGGCCCGCCTCCCCCGACCTCTGGCCCACCGTGGTCTCCCTCGGCTACCACGCTCACGGCCACGCTCCCCTCCCCGCCCTCGGAAGCAGCCCCACAGGAAGCCAGCACAGGAGGGGCGACGCGGCTCCCTGGGCACACCCTGGGCAGCAGAGGCGTGGGGGCAGGGGCTGCCAGGCAGCCTAAAAGGATGCCTCCCAGAATGGCCCCAGCTAGACGCCCCTGCCCCAACCCTCCACCCTCAGAGCCAGGGCAGGACAGCACCTAGGGCCTGGGGCAGGTCGGCCTCAGGATCTCTTGGAGGCCCCCACCCCAGTGCCCAGCATCCGCCACAGCCCATGCCAGGCCCGGCTAGGGTGGACAGGAAGCAAGCCCATGCTGGAGTGGCCGGGGATGGAGGGACGCCCAGGAGGGACCCAGGAGCCTAGGGCAGAGGCCCAGCCTGGCTCCTATAAGCGGTGGAGAAGTGGGCCTGAGGTGCTCGGAGTCGGGGCCAGTGAGGGGCACAGGCCAGGCCCCAGGCAGCCCTGGAGGCACAGGAGGAAGGAGTGGGAAGGCGAGCCAGGACAAGGTAGGCGGCGGGCAGCTTCTCCCTGGAGGCACCCAGGGGCCCTGGCCCAGCAGAAAGGCCTCTATGAGCCCCTTGATCCAGGGGCCACTCCCAGGGCCCAAAGTCGCCCACTTGTCACCTGTTCCCTGGTCCTGGAGACCCACGTGTCAAGCAGCAGCTCCAGGCGCGAGCGGTGGAAGGCCCGGGTCGTCTTGACAGCAATGAAGACATCCTGCAGCCGCAGCTCCTGGGACCCAGGGCTCTGCTGGCTCAGCTCTGGGGTCCCCGGCACCCTCTGGGGGGACAAGCTTACGTGGTACCGTAGGGACAGCAGCCCCATGCACAGGAGGGTGAGCAGGGCTCCAGCCAGGCCCCGCAGGAGCCGGCACTGCATTGGCCCTGGGACCCCAGACAGCTCAGCCCCCAAATCCCAACCGGCCAGGGAGGAAAGGCTGGTCAGGCGGGAGCCCCAGCAGAGGCAGCCGTCTGGCGGGCATCGGGGGCTGGCCAGGAGGGCAGAGGTGGGAGCTGGGGCTCTGGCCCCAGAGGATGAGCCATGGCAGCCCGCCGCCAGCCCTCCACCTGCTCGCCGCCCTGCCCGCGCCGCTCTGGCTGCCTGGCCCCGCCCCTGCTCAGCCCGGGAGGCGGGGCCTGGCGAGGGGAGCCCCAGAGGTGGCTGGAAAGGAGGCCCCAGCTGGAGGGGCAGCCGGGCCCTGCCAGCTGCTGCGGTGGGGCTGGAGGCAACAGCAAACCTCCATGCCTGATGGAAGGGGGCCCCCAGCCTTCCCACTCCCCAGAGACCTGTCAGCTGGGCTCATCCAACACCCAGTACCGAGCAGTGTCCGGGCCCCTGGCCTCTGGCCTCCCAGCTTCTGCTCAGTTTCTCCTCCCAGACACTCTCCCCATCTCCTGCCATCCTCACCCACATTCTCTCTGCCAGGCTGAATTCTGTTGGGACTGTAAGGCTGAACTCAAGGGTTGCCTCCTCCAGGAAGGCTTCCCTGATGTCCCCTCCCAACCTCTGAGGCTCCCACAGAAGTCTGCTCAGTTCCTTGGTCTTCCCAACAGCACTGGGACTGTCATTCCCAGTTGGTAGCTGTGGACATAAGGCACAGAGGCACAGAAAGATCCAAGATGCTCCAGCAACTCAGCTACGGAGCCAGATGGATTCTGGTCTCTCCAGCCCAGCCCGTCGTGACCCACCTCACCTGGCAGTCTCTACAGCTGCCTCTCTCCCAGCGGGGCCCGGGGACAGACGGCCTTCTCCAGCCACCACCTCCATCTTGTTTTGCACAAGGTCGCTCATATCTCCCTTCTCCGCTCCGACTCTGCACTGGCTCCCACCTCCTTCAGAACAACACAGCAGCTCCCAGGCCTGTGTGCGCTGCCCCCCACCCTCCAGCCCTCTCCTACGCCCCCCCTGCCCCTCCACTCCAGACCCACTGGGCTCCTGGGGCGTCCAGGTACACGGCCACCTCAGGACCTTTGCACTTGCAATTCTTGCCTGGCACTCTCCCTAGAGATCCGCACACCTCACTCCTTCACTTCCTTCTGGTCTCTACACAAACGTCAGCTGCTCCACGGGGCCTTCCCTGACCACTTTATTTCAACCTCACCCCGTCTCCCTTCCTTCTCGGGCCCCCTTCTCTGCTGTTTTTTCCATAGCATTTTTCAACTCCCAACATCCTATATATGTTACTGATTTACTGCCTGTCTTCCTCCTGAGAATATCAGGGCAGGATTTCTTCTTTTTGAATCATGGAGTCCCCACTTCCCAGTGCCTAGAACAGCACCTGGCACATAATAGGTGCTCAATAAATATTTGTTAATTAAACACAAGAAAGTACCAGATGGCTAGTAAATTGAACTGGCCCTGCTGTGGCCCAACCCTGCCTGAGGACAGTGGGGGGACAGAAAGAGGAAACAACCCTTGAGAATCACCCTCCTATGGGCCAGCCCCGGCCAGGGCCCTTCACAGCCTGTCTTCTCAGAACAAGCCACCAAGGGAACAAGCCACCGAGGGACAATCCGAGGCTCTACGCCCCACAGACCAGGTTCAAGTCCCGACTGGGCCACTCACTAGCTATGTGACCCTAGGAAGTTACTTTCACCACATGTAAAATGGGGACACAAATATGACTTGGTGACGATGACAGGAAGAGGGCTTCTCCACCCCACAGAAAGGACAGCTAACAGGGGGAGCAGGCAGAGGCGGCCAAGCCACTGGGCTCCAGCATTTCCCCCAGGCTCCTGTGTCCCCCAACCCGGCACTGGGCCAGGCACGCAGCAGGAAAGTGGGAGGTTCATTTGCCCAGATGCCCATGACCCAGCCCCCACGTCCAGGGAACCACAACCATCCACAGAGACGGCCACACAGATCCCCATCTGCCACAAGGCAGAAGTCGCATGGCCCAGGAGAAGTCACAGGGCTAGGAGGCCCAGGTGGACTTCATGGAGATGGCGTCTCAGCCAGACTTCAAAGGCCAGTAGGACTCAGGCAGGAAGAGCCGCCTAAGCAGAGCCCAGCATGAGCAAAGGTTTGGCCACAGGACCCCTAAGGGCAGAACTGGAGCCCAGTGCCCGGGGCGGGGAGGCTGTGGCTGAACAGACAGGGGAGGGTCCATGCTGAGAAGGCCTGGAGTGGCAAGGGACATCATGCCTGACTCCTGGGCAGGGGGCTGCACCCATGTCACTCAGGGTCCAACCCTCCAGCCTGTACCCCACAGCTGTGACAGGCTGGTGGGCCTCTAGCTCCAGCCAAGGACCCTTCACATCCCCTGCCACCCCAATCTGCGGCTTGTTAAAGGCACCTCCTGTCTTGGAGAGGGTGGAAAGAGCTGTGGTTTCCTGGGCAATGGCTCTGCCCCAGCCACGCCTGTGGCCAGTCGGCACCACCATGGCCCACCCCACCATCCACAACACGGGTCGCCCGAGTTACTACGGGTCACCCAGGTGGCCAAGACTTTGGCCTTCAACCAAACCACACTGCCCCTGCACCCTGCACTCCATCCGGGGAAAGATGCCTCTCCCGGCTCCTGGGCAGCCCGGCCCACCCTCCACCCTGGCAGCTCCCCTCCCAATCTTTAGCCCACGTGGCCCAGCCTCAAGGCCCCACACCCACCTCCTCCCCCTTGTCTCTTCTTCCCAACAGAGATGGAGCTCTAGCCCCGAGTCCCCATGCCCTCTCCACCCACACCCCAGACCCCCAGCCCAGGCCCCTTTCTCCTAAGCTTGCCAAACACGGAGACCCAGACCCACCCCGGAGGCCACAGAGCCCCTCTTCTCCTATCTGGTCCATGGCACCGTCCCATTGTCTACTCTGGCCTGGACACTCTGCCTGTCTCAGCCACTCTCAGACAACCCCACACCCGAGCCCCCACAGCCCTGCTCTGCACCCCAGAGACTCCCTCAGCCTACAGGACACAGCTCAAGCTCAACATGACATTCTGCATCCCCAGCCCTGCTTGGGACTTGGACTTCCCAAGCTCATTTCCCACCACTCCCCGGTGGCCGAACTCAATCAGTCTCCTACCTTTGAGCTTTTGCTGTTGAGGTTCCCTCCACCTGGTACACATGTATCCCTCCCCCAAAACCCCCAAGGGCCTGCCCAAGTTCCTCACTGTGACCAAGGACAGTCACCTGCACAGAGGCACATAGGTCCCATGAATACTTCTTGAAGAAAGGAATCCCAACCCTCAAGCTCAAGTGGCACCTCTTCCAGTAAGGCTGCCTGGATTGCTCCCATTGGGGCAACTGTCCTCCCTCTGGTGGAACTGTCTCGGGGACCTGATGGCACATGGAGAGTTTGCTCTTGTTCTGGACTCAGCAGCGGAGTCCCTTCAGCCTGAGACCACGCCCTGCTGGCTCTGGTGCCCTGCTCCTGGGGACACCCCTTTGATGATCAGCCGCGGGCAGGGCTGAGCGCTGGGGTGGCCCATCGCTGGGGTCTGCCTTCGGTCATGCGGGGCAGGTAAGGTGACGCCAGCACAGATGGCGGGCGGCTCTGGGAAGAGACAGCCGGGAAATCTGAGCCTCCCGACGGGCGGGTGAGTGGGGACCTGAGAGGTGGTATCAGCCCAAGCTGGGGGCGGGGGCGGAGGGGAAGGTGGAGAGGGGCTCCAGGCCAGGGACACGAGCAAACAGACGGCCACCAGCATCTATAACAAAACGGCATTTAATGTTCCATAGTGTGAGTATCTGAGTGCAAAAGGCCCGTTAATAATCCACGAGCCACGCATTCTGGTGACAGCAGCCGGCTCCTCCCCACCCAAGACAGGGCGCCCCTGTGAGCCACGGTCCCGGGTGTGCTTGCTGGGAACACACACGTGTTAGTGCCCATGGTGGGGCGTGACGTTAACACAGGAGAGAACCACTGACACAGATGAGGGGAGAAACGAGGTGACCGTGGACCAGGGATGCCACAGTGTTCACATGTGGGCAACACACGAGAAATGTGAGCTGGACAGTGGGAGTCACACAGTGACGGGCTCTGTGCTCCTGGGAGCAGAACAGGCTCAGGGCCTCGGGAGACCCGGTGCGCCCAGGCAGAGGGACAGGCCTGAGCCTGCCCGTGAGAACTTGGCTGTGCAAACGTTTGCACAGGAGTGAGAACACAGATTCCAGGGTGAGTGTTTAAGGACAGGACACGGACACACACACGAGCCCCACGGGTGGGAACGTGGAGACACGGGGACGGGCAGGACAGCCCAGAGCAGCAAGTTCAGGAGGGGGAGCCCTGTCCTGGGCTCCCGCGGGCTCGGCAGGGCCAGTGACAGTCTACGGTGCGAGAACCCAGAGCCAGGGCTCCCACGTCCAGGAGTCCAAGGGCTGGAAGGCTCAGGGTGGGAGGGCCCAGCCCCACAGACACGGGTCCCGCTGGCTTCTGAAGCGCGGGAGGAAGTGCAGGTGTCAGACTGGCGTCAGGCCTCGCTGCTGCCGCTGCCCCCGCAGCCTCTGCCCCCGCTGTGCTCCACCCAGGCGAGGCGGGCCTGCTCCTGCAGGATGCGGCAGCGCACCACCTTGGCCAGCTCCTCCGCGTGGCCCCACTCGTGGGCGGGGACCTGCACCCAGGAGCAGGGCAGCCCCCAGAGCGAATGCTCCGAGCCGCGGCACTGCCGCAGCAGCTCCGAGTCCCGCCAGCCCGGCCGGCCCAGCAGACCCCTGCCAGGAGAGGAGAGGGCAGAGGTCAGAGTGGGCAATGAAGACGGACAGAGGGGCCGGGCGCGGTGCCTCACGCCTGTAATCCTAGCACTCTGGGAGGCCGAGGCGGGAGGATCGCTCAAGCTCAGGAGTTTGAGACCACCCTGATCAAGAGTGAGACCCTGTCTCTACTAAAAATAGAAAAATTAGCCAGGCATGGTGGTACATGCCTGTAGTCCCAGCTACTTGGGAGGCTGAGGCAGCAGGATTGCTTGAGCCCAGGAGTTTGAGGTTGCTGTGAGCTAGGCTGACGCCACGGCACTCTAGCCTGGGCAACAGAGTGAGACTCTGTCTCAAAAATAATTAAGTAAATAAATAGAAATAAAAATAAATAAATAAATAAAGACGGACAGAGGGAGAGGCACAATGATGGTAGAATCAGAGACAGAAGATGGACAGAGACAAAAAGACAGACG